TTGCTGGTCGGGGGGGGGGGGGGCAGTGCCACCTGGAGATATAGCTGAAAGAAACCCTGATCTAAATGATCCTTCATGAAGTTTATTTATGGTTTATTTATAAGCTAATGAAATGCTTTAGATCCCTTGTGTTTAAATCTTAAAATCGTAAAATGTTTTTTTTTTACTTAGGTATATATTTAATGTCCAGAATAAAGTCATTTTTTTTTTATCCATGAAAAAACGTATCTAATCTTACATAATCGTATCATAACTTATGATTGGCTGTAATGCTTTGTGACGCGTGAAGAGTTGGCACGAGTTTAAATAGAAGTGCAGATCCATTTTGCATAAAAACCCTTTTTTGTTTTAGTAAACATAAATGAATTTACTGTGTTGGTAAATGTAATGTAGGAAAACTATAACGAATAGATTAAATACTAACTTAACCTTTGAAGGTGGATGAAATCAATTTAAAAAAAGAATACTTATGACCAGTAGAGTTCTCCGACTCACTTTGTAAAGATAAGCTGTAAAGCGTAGGTTTTCAACCTCACCTAATGAAGAGTAAATATTTTGAGTACATTTTTTTAGACTCACTTAATTAATGGTAGCTATACCGGGTATATGTGTCATACAAAGTGTTGTGCTAATAAATAAAGAAAAAACAAATGTTAACTCCATGTAATATAAATTTAATTTTATTTGAATAGATTCCTGTGAAATTATAACAAAATAATATTGAAGCCACAATTAAAGAAATATTTTAGCAAAGAAATAACATTCATAATGATTTTTAAAAGTAACTTCTGAAACTAACTGATCTGAAGTTAAGAGGCAAAAAAAATGTATTTTAAGAGTGAGCAATGAATATCGCACTAAACTTTGATATAGATAGAACTTGGAAAATTATAATTCTTCTAGCTAAGGATAAAATGTCTCACAGAGTATTATGATAAAGCTAACGATGCTATATGATAACCAATGTGCCAGTTATAATGATCAAAACTGATAACAATTTGTTTATTTGTTTTTTTAAAACCATTGTTTGAATTATTATTTTTATTTTTGTGCTCAGAAATGTGTATTATAATTGAATTAATAAAAATAATTAAAAGCTAATTAACAGAACGCATCAATTATAAATAACAACGTGTGTAAACATTTGTACAGTAGGCGATATTTATTCATAATCAGCTAACGCCAATTGAAAATTTTTTCGCTTAGAAAATATTGTTTGTTTCAAGAAATAAAATCAGAAATTGTTTTGCATTTCATGCAAGCATTCTAATTTTTATATCAATTAATTAAGACTTTTTTCAGATCGCATTATCTCAGTTTGACCACAAGAGATAGGCCTAAATATAAGCTCTGAAACACGTACGGGTCTATTGTTAAATCACCACCGCACTCAGTACGTGTTCATGTGTGGAACTATACATTTGAACAATTTATTTTAATTACCGTTTACAACCCTACGGAGCAACATGACTTACTGCGGAAAAAAAATCGAGGTTCACATTCTAGAGCTATATATAACGTCTGATAGTCAAGTCATGCTTACACGAAAAGTTTCAATTATTGTCTGTGTTATATGTAATAATAAATAAGACCTAATCATATCTAATGCAAAATAAATTAAAGATCTTAAAATAAATATCTTGCATTCCGACTCCACAGCGTCCACTTCGTATCACTAGTCAGGCAAGACTTTTGTATTTTTCTGATGGCTGGACATGAGTGAAGACAAATGTGCTGTGAAATTATGGGCTGGTATGTAGTGATGGGGAAATAGAAGTTAGCAGACCATATGGGATGTTATGTAGTGATATTAAAGTAAAAATAAATATATCATATTTTATTATAGGTGTGGTAATTGGATTATTTAATTAATATTTCCTACGAAAAATATCAGTCTCCTTTAAAATATGTGTTTTTAATACTCGAATTGAAGCCGGGGAAATGTTTAGGCAATTTACAACATATGAAGAATCAAATGTTTCCAAAGCAGCAGAGCTTTGACATCCTTTTAAATGTTGGACAAGTTTAACTGTTTGTCTCTCAACATGAGGTCATTTGTTTCAGTAATACACCTTATATTTAAAGACTTCGGTTGCTCCTCACTACAAATTTAATGATTGTCTAGATGTTCTTTGAGTGTTAAATGAGTTGCCGGGACGTGGGCTATCACATAACTTTGTTATTGAAATCCTGGATGTTATACAAGCTGGGGATTAGAGGCCCACTTATTAAAGAAAATGATTAATGTAAACAGCATGCTAAAGAATGCGTTGAACGTTTGACGTAATTTCATTTAAAACGCTAATAAATATTGTGCAAAGTGTAGCCGATGTTGTTTTAACATTCTTATTATATCGCAGAAGACTATAACTTTTGTATCAAGTAACATGAAAAGGTGACACTGATCATAGTCTGATCGTGTTCATCAATTCTCTCCCAATTCAAATATAATTCGTCACCAGCAGAAATTTCAGCAAACCGTGTTACCGTTTGGTTGATTGAAAAATCATGAAAGAAGATACGTTCATCGTATGTCTCTTTACGAATGCGACGACAGTTAATGGCATTTGTTTTCGTGTTAGACGAACTGCCTGTCATGATAGTTATTGAGTACAAGCCATTAACAGGAGTTGTAAATATGCCAGTGGATGGGTCGAAGTGATCTCCGTGGTTGGTATAGACTAGATCGTACGGTGTTATAGTACCTAGTCCTTCGTCTTGACTTAATTTCAAGGCAAAGAACCCAATCGTTGGTAAATTGCACTTAAGTTCTGTGAAAAAAAAAAAGAAAAAGATACTATTAAAAAACAAAAATTATATAAATTAATGCAGTTGTATCAATAGGATGTGAGAATCAAATTAAGCTCATAATTCAAATTAAGTAGATCTCCATTTTTAAATAAAATAATGATTAGTTATTAATTGTTTTAACTTTAAAAAAAAAAAAGATTAGATTAAAGAAATTTTGTTTTATTGACTTTGTTTTACAGCAATGAAGGAAGTAATAATCTAAAACTTTTTCCGATTTTATAAGATGGTTACCTTCAGAATAGGCCAAGCGACTCATTGAAAGCCAATAAAATACTAAATTAAAAACAAGATTTCATAAGAAGAAAGAAAGAAATGTATTTAATTTTATCTTTTTTGTTGCTTAATTGTCATCTAGTGAATTCACTTTATTTTTTTAAATTGTTGTATTGCTGAGAGTTGTAAATTTGATTAAGGTCATGAAATACCGAGTAATCAATGTTTTAAATTCAACAATCGTATTTTTAAAAATATCTTCCAATTGTTTAATTTTTTTTGTTTACACTAGCAAGCATTACGCTATTCCGTTGCCTTTATATCTCAATTAAAACATTGCTATAGCGGATCCCCTTCTTACCACACACTTTTCAACATTTATCTCAGACAATTCTGAAACCTCCCCCGTGCACTGGCTAAATTATAACCAATGTAAACGGTGTTTTTAAAGTGATATGAATTCCGATCAAAATACAGTTGCATAACGCTATTGGGCTTGAAAAAATATAAAAATATTTATTAATGTTTTAAAAAAGTTTTCCCATAATATATTTACATGTAACACAACCATTACTTCCTTGTTATATGCACATATTATGTATACAATGAGACTTTGAATTAAATAAAATAATGATTTTATACATTCACCTTAAATACACACGAACGCTTACACAAACACACACTCAGTCACACCGCCACACACAGACCCACTCACTCAACTGCAAACAATAATGTCAGCTATATGTGCATGTCAAAATGTCGATATTTACAAATTAATGTTTAAAAATTGAAATAAGAATTTCATTGCCATCATCAAATAAAATTGTTTTTCAAAATTTAAATGTAATTTTACTTTTACATTTTAATTTTAGCACATTTCGAAACCTTACCGATTTTCGTAATTTTTTTAAACATTTCAGCTACACGGTTCCCCATAGCATCTTTCTGTAAATTAATAATTTGAATCAAATTATTACGTATCTATGTAATAATGATTCAGACTCACCCGCCGACGTGGAAAAGGGGGGGGGGGAAATACAGGTGATTCATTGTCTGTAATAATGAATAATATCGGCAGACATTTTTAAAAACATATTATATAATGAAGTAAAAAATGCCATTTTATGAGTATGGACTTATTTTGGATTTTAAGCTACATGATATAATTGAATTTCTTGTGAAATTCAATGAATTCATAATAATCATTGTTGAATTACTATTCCATATCTCACCTTTTGTGAAATGAGGCATTATATGTTTATAATTTTTTTTTTTGATGTTAAGTAGTTTTCTATAAGCAAAGTGATTTTGATAATCCCTGTCTTAGTAACATTTAACGAATTGTCTATGTGAGTCCTACATAGAAAACTGTACTAAAATTAGTACAAGAACAAGACTGACCACAAAAAATGTAAAAAAAGTCGCACGTATTATTACTCCTAATTAAAAATATTGGAGGCTAGTGTTTTCAAATTTGTAACAACATCTGAATATAACACAATACCCCTGAAAGTTGTCTTTCGCCAGAGTTGACGTTCTTGTTTAACTGTTCCAAAGGAGTCAGTCTCTTTGCCAGCAGTTGACAAACCATGCCAAACTGTGTAACAAGCAAAGGTCATCACGGATAGATCTTTAAAAAATCTATTTTTTTTTTGTTCAAAAGAAATTATGTAAGTATATTTTACACTAACTAAATCAAGTTAACTGATTGTAAATTTAATGTCATAAAAAATATTGTCTTATCGTGAATTAAAAATAAACCATCTTGGATTCACCGTAAGTGCAATGCATTATTTTAAATGTATTTATAAGTACATTTTTTTTTTCAAATTATGACGGATGAATAAATAAAAATATTTAGTATGTTTGTATTAGTCATGTTTAAAATTAATCAGATTAAATTTCGTCATATCCTAAGGAAGAGAAGCAAAATTTGAACCACAACAACCCCACCCAAAGTTTTTTTTTTCCCTTCCTGCGTAAGGCACCCAAGTTGTGCTGAAAGTTCGACTGCATGTAACTACTCATCCCAGTGGAGGTCATGGTCTCTTGTTACAGGTGGACTTGAACTTGAAGAGTCAAGGAAGGCGGGCGAATCATGGGTTTTTAAAAAAATGTTGAAGATTTAGCTGGTTTCTAACACTTTAGCCTGATCCATATTGAATGACCACGTTGGCCACTCCAACATTATTAATTAGTATTAGTGCTTAATTTTGAAAAATAACTTTGTTATTATTCTAAGTTTTTTTTAATGTCTTTTAAACCTTTACTTTGAAATCTATAAAAAATTATAATTGATAGAATTGCGTTCATTTTACTGTTCATAATTATTGCATTATTAATAACATTTCTGAAACAATTTAAAAAAAAAAATAAAATAAAAAGTAAGATAATAAAAAAAACACAACTTTTTGAGATAATCAATTTGAAATAGTATTTTAGTCCATAAAATATGTCCATTTTCATGTTTGGCTTATTTAAATTTATGCAGTACACTTGGATAAACAGGATAAGAAATGTCCCAGTTTAGACTGATCTGAACAAACATATAAATTAAGAATATTTATCACTAAAAATAGGTCCTCTAATTTCAAAATCATAAATAAATATCATTTTTTAAAAAGCAACCTGTATGATCAAACAATCAAATAAAAAGATGTATTACACAGCTTACCAAATCGTCCGTTTTATCTTTATTGAGACTGCTCATATTTTCAAACTTCTCTGTGCACTGAGATGACATGATATTAATGGAGATTTCCAGTTGATTCATTTTATCAGACATTTCATTATAATGTTGATTTGTACTCTCGACGCGCTTTGACAAATCTTGTATAGACATAAGGGCATCATTGCTACACGTTCTAACAGAGCTGATCTGTTTATTGATTTCATTCACTGAGACATTGACCGGTTTGTTTTCATCTTCTAATTTGTTTAACTTGTCATCAACATATGTTACAGTTTCAAACAAATCATCAACTTTTGAATTAATGTCTTGGTATCTTTTCTCCAGGTCGGTAATTTTATCCTTAAGCTTTTTCTCAGACTTAAAATCTACATTTGTTAAAATTTCCATTTTTTTATGATCATTTACTTGTTGAGACGAGACACCTTTTAATATCTTATCAACATTTTCAATTTTGTCTTCAACTTTTTCTGTTGTCTTTTTGAGTGAGTCTACAGCTTCCTCTAGTCTGGCAATTCTCATTGTCATAATGTTAGAGTTATCGGATCCTACAACATTACCTGCAAGTAAGTAGAGTTGTTGTTTTTTTAAATCCATGCTGTTTTAGTACAAGAAATATTTGGGAACTGTGCACATTAACTAATGATGTTCATCGGTTACTCACATCAACAGCATTTTAAATATTGTTTGTGGGTATATATTAAATTCTAAATTAAAACTAATTTATTGATAACACCATTATTGGCTTTAGCATTATGCTATCCTGTCTCATCAAGGATCCCTAAAACTAATTGTATTTATTTATTTTATGATTTTATTTTGTTTTCTAGAAGAAAAAAAAATATTCAAAATTTTTTTTAAAGTTTTTTTTTATAAGAGAATAAAAACACTTTCTTTAGATACTAACGAACCTGACAAACACATACGCTTTGGCGCTACTGGGCGGAAACAGAAATAACATAACAAAAGCATTCACGGATTTTGAAAATTGCCTCCATCAAATCTGGTCTTGATGTAAATGAATCAAAGACAAAATATATGATAATGTCACGAAACACAGACGGTGATGACAACATTAATATAAACAACCGCGCATTGGAGAAAGTGAATTATTTCAAATCTCTAGGGGTGACTACAAATGCGCACACTGAAATACTGTCGCAGGTGAACGATAGAATAACAGCAGGAAACCATTCCTTTTTCAGCTCACAAAAGCTAACGGGAAACAAAAACATCTCAAAGAGAACAAAGAAGACAATATACAACACTATGATAAGATCTGTAGAACGACTTAGATGTCTCGACCATGTGGAGAAGTATTTACACCAGTTAGTGGTTTGCGCATGGAAGCGGAAAGCCGTGGATCGATCCGAATAGAACGATGTTGTAGGAGCAGGCCACGGCCTTACATGGGCTGTAGAGCCAATGATGATGATTTAGATATATAAAGATGCATCCAAAATTTTAAGGATTTCTAATCTTAATTATGCATTTTTTATAGCTACCAGGCAAAGTTTCCGTTTTGGCTCTGTCAACTTTTGACTTTGCTCCAGGACTTGTCAAATTATTGATGGTTGTCAAACATGTTTGGTATAAATCACTTTCTTTTGCATCAATCTGTTTGGCTGGAGATGTAAAGATAAATAATACAATTAAAACATTGATTGGGATAAATATAATTGTAATTCATTGGCACAAAATCTTTTGTTTAGGAATACATGAGGAATTAAATTATCTGACTTTAAAAAGTAATTACACAAGGTCAGATAGGAAATTATTTGGGAATTTATTATAAAATTGCCTTTCCTCAACATCAATCCATTCTGAAGGCTAAAATTTATAAATTGTAGGCAACATTCCATCTTCCTAAAAAAATGTTGTAGCTTGTGTTCTATTTGAAATTTGTCCTGCCATTTAATATGGAGAATGCTATAAACTATCCCATGGTTGAGTATTTCATCATATCTTGCTCTAGGCTTCTATTTGTCACTTGAGTCTGTGCACGAAGGCTAGCAATATTAAACAGCTTGCAATAATATATATATATATATTTATATATATATATACTGATCTTAAAGGGGAAGGAAGGGTCTAAATAGTTTCATCAACTTGTCACCAAAATCATATGTTGTCATGTGTAATGTCACTAATTTTTTTTACATCAACTAGACTTCAAAAAGGAATAAGAGGCATATCTAGACAACTAAAAATCATTTGCTGTCAGCTCAAAATTCTTGGGCTATAATATAGAAACAGTCACACAAAAAATTAAATCATTGCATGTTAGAGGAGAAACAATTGTTCGTCTAATAAAATATACAGTGTATACATATACATTTATGAACTATATGAAGTTTTCACAATTAAAATACCTGAAAGTTCAACAGACTTTTCAATGAACAAAGATATAACTTGCTGAATTCTATGACTTATCTCGGCACAGGTTTCTTGATTGACATGCCCTTCATTAACCCAGGCATCTACTTCACTTTGTACCTACAGGAGATTTATATTGAAAAATTGAAAATACAAACACTCGTTTTTAACAATTGTATATATATATAGTATATATACACACATCTGAACTAATGTTGAATCCAAAACTATTTAATATTATATCTCTATTCATGATTTGACTGAATAAAAAGTTTATTTACATTTATTGCAACGTAAAATTTAATTTATAACTACAACCAACCTGATTAATACATTCGTCTAAAGCATCTGTCACAGTATTCCTCTCTTCCTTCAGTACATCAAGTTGTTGGTTGATAATTTGTACAAATCTCTGAGCTTGAAGTGCTTTGCTTACCATTTTTAGGAATCTTGAATTTAATAACAAGTACTACTATAGTTGAAATATAGCTGGTTTAAACTGATGACACATAAACATATTATTATGTCTCAATTAAATAAGTGCACGAGAAAAACACAAAGAATCACACACATTTTAACATTTATTACTTTATTACACATACACAAACACATACTTGCATGCAGTCAACTTTCAAAATCAATATCAATATTCTTTTCAAGAATGCCTTATTAATTTGGACTTGTTTGTTGGGTGTAATCTATAGCAATTTAACTATTTAACCAAAAAAAATATTCATACACGTCTAAAATATCTCCAAAACAAAACTGTAAATGCTATTTTTAATATAGGCCATATAACGTTAATTTACAAAAAGAGCTTTTTCTCAGAATCCTCCAGAATTTACTAAGCTATGAATCCCGAGTTTGGTAAATCCTTTACTTTTATTAAGACACTCTTGTCTGAGTCCCACACGCCAAGGTGACCTGGATAATACGCGCGGTGTAAATTCGTCATGAATCGTTCTAAGATTAGAAAACGCCGTGTCTAGAATAACACATTCCAAGAATCGATTTCGTTATCGAGTTGACCCACCTAGATATTGTACGTCAGTGTGTTAGACATGTTAGTCAGCACTAGCTTTTTGTAACGCATTTATAATTCATTTCATTTCTTGATTTATGACTTGAAATGTATGACTTATCTATATCTATATCTATATCTATATCTATATCTATATCTATATCTATATCTATATCTACATCTATATCTATATCTATATCTATATCTATATCTATATCTATCTATCTATCTATCTATCTATCTATCTATCTATCTATCTATCTATCTATCTATCTATCTATCTATCTATCTATCTATCTATCTATCTATCTATCTATCTATCTATCTATCTATCTATCTAT